AAATCTCCTGTGTCAAAGGTACCCTCCCTCTATCAGGAAAAAAAGGAGACACCCTACCACGAGAGACAGGGAACTTAGGGTTGAGAAGGTATATAAACAAACCTTGTTAATTATCTTCCAAATTACTACATAATTTACTACCTTTAGCCCACACCCCTTTGTCTTATCAATTCTTCACAAATTTATTGTTTTTGCCTAAAGATATAAAAGCTTCCTGTTCTAGGGCGCCTGGGTGGCTCAGTTGGTTAAGCGACTGCCTTTCGGCTCAGGTCATGATCCTAGAGTCCCCGGATCGAGTCCCACATCGGGCTCCCTGCTCAGCGGGGAGTCTGCTTCTCCCTCTGACCCTCTTCCCTCCGGTGCTCTCTATCTCTCATTCTCTCTCTCAAATAAATGAATAAAATCTTAAAAAAAAAAGCTTCCTGTTCTAGTCACTTCTCTGGGTTTTTATTGTCTGGTAGAAGGCTCCCACATACATGTAAAAGTTCAGTAAAATGTATGTGCTTTTCTCCTGTTATGCTGCCTGTCAGTTTAATTTTCCGACCCAGCCAGAGACCGTAAGAGGGTTGAGGAAAACTTTTTCCTCCCCTACAAAATCTTAGAAGTAAATTTTCATGATATTGGATTTAGGAAATAAAAAGATAGATAGATAGATAGATAGATAGATAGATAGATAGATAGATAGATAGATAGATGAGAGAGAGAGAGAGAGAGAGAGAGAGAGAGACAGACAGACAGACAGACAGACACACACGCCTGGGTGGCTCAGTAGGTTAAGCATCTGCGTTCAGATCAGCTCATGATTCCAGGGTCCTGGGATCGAGTCCCACATCGGGCTCCCTGCTCAGTGGAGAACCTGTTTCTCCCTCTGCCTGGCACTCCCCCTGCTTGTGCCCTCTCAAATAAATCTTTTTTTCTTTTAAAGATTTTATTTATTTGAGAGATAGAATGAGATAGAGAGAGCACATGAGAGGGGGGAGGGTCAGAGGGAGAAGCAGACTCCCCGCTGAGCAGAGAGCCTGATGCGGGACTCGATCCCGGGACTCTAGGATCATGACCTGAGCCGAAGGCAGTGGCCTAACCAACTGAGCCACCCAGGCGCCCTCAAATAAATAAAATCTTAAAAAAATAAAATAAAAAAGAGAGAGCACGCATGAGCAGGGGAGGGGCAGAAGGAGAGAGAAAATCTTTTATTTAAAAATTTTTTTTTAGATTTATTTGAGAAAGAGAGACAGAGATAGTGAGAGAGAGTACAAGTGGGGAAGAGAGGGAGAAGCCCTGCAGAACAAGGAGCCCAATGCGAGACTCGATCCCAGGACCCTTGGGGCCACGACCTGAGCCAAAAGCAGACACCCAACCAACTGAGCCACCCAGGTGCCCTGGAGAGAGAAAATCTTAAGCAGGCTCCATGCCTAGCTAAGAGCCTGACGTGGGGCTCAATCTCACAACTCTGAGATCATGACCTGAGTCAAAATCAAGTCAGATACTTAACCAACTGTGCCACCCAGGTGCCCCGTGGCAATGACTTCTCATACATAACACCAAAAACATACGCAACAACCAAAGGATAATTGGACTTCACCAAAATTTAACACTTTTGTGTCTGAAAGGGCACTGTCAAGAAAATGAAAGGAAAATTCACGGAACGGAGAAAGGGTATTCATAGGAAAACAAATGACCTTTGGAAAGATAAATGGGCCCTTTAGAGAACAGATGGGAGATTTGATAGTTTTCTGAAAATGTCTATCTTGATGAAAGTTCCACATGAACTGAACATATATTCTGTTGTTGGACGAAGTAGTCTACAGATATCCATTACATCCAATTGTTTGATGGTGTTGAGGTCATCTACGTTCTTACTGGTTTTGTCTGCTGGATCTGTCCATTTCTATTAGCTGCTAAAGACTCCAAATATAGCAAAATCATCTACTTCTCCTTGCAGTTCTCAGTTTTTGCTTCATGAAGTTTGATGCTCTGTTGTCAGGCACATACATGTTAGGAATTGTTACATCTTTTTGTGGAACTGACCTTTTTATCATTACATAATGTCCCTCTTTATTCCTGATAACTTTCCTTGGTCTGATGTCCGCTCTCTAAAATAAATATAGCTTTACTCTTGCTTTCTCTTGATTAGTGTTTCTTTTTTTTTTTTTTTTAAGATTTTATTTATTCATTTGACAGAGAGAGAGAGATAGGGAGAGCAGGAACACAAGCAGGGGGAGTGGGAGAGGGAGAAGCAGGCTTCCCACCAAGCAGGGAGCCCAATGTGGGGCTCAATCCCAGGACCCTGGGATCATGACCTGAGCCGAAGGCAGACGCTCAACAACTGAGTCACCCAGGCACCCTCTTTTGATTAGTGTTAGCATGGTAGATCTTTCTCTGATCATTTACTTTTAATCTACAGGTATCTTTATATCTAAAGTGGGTTTTTTTTAAGATTTTTTTTTTTTAAGTAATCTCTACCCCTAACATGGGGCTTGAAAACACAACCCTGACATCAAGAGTTACACACTTGGGCACCTGAGTGGCTCAGTTGGTTAAGCGTCTTGACTCTTGATTCTGGTTCAGGTCATGATCTCAGGGTTGTGAGATTGAGCCCCACGTTGGGCCCTGGGCGTGGAGCCTGCTTAAGATATTCTTTCTCCCTCTGCCCCTTCGCACTTGCACTCCCTCTGCCCCTTCGCACTTGCACTCCCTCTCTCACTAAAGAAGAAGAATCGCATGCTCCACTGAGCCAGCCAGGCACCCTTAAATTGGGTTTCTTGTAGTCAACATATAGTTCAGTCTTGTTTTTTGATCCACTGGTACAACCTTTTTGAAGGGCAATTTGTGTTAAAAAAAAATTTTTTTGACACCTGTTAAAATAGTAAGGAAGACTTTATTCAAGAAGATAGCAATATCCTTTTTGATGGGTTTTGTAATAGGGAAGAGAAATTGGGCTTAACTCCAAATACAACAAGGACAAGTGGGGATTTATAGCCAAGAAGCAGGGTGAGTGTGAGTGAATGGAAAATTATTAGGAGGAGACATCAACGGTAGGATTCTTGCTAATGTGACCTAACAGAATTCTTGCTATATAGGCAGGTCAAAGACATAACATTGAAAGTGGGGAATGAGGAACTTGAGATATCAAGGGTGATCAGAAATTAAAGGTGGGAGATTCTCTCTAAACTAATTTACAGGATTCTTTACTATTGTACCCCTATGTTCACAGCTGCACTATTCACAGTAATGAACTGGACTGGTCAGGCCAAAGACAGGATGTGGGTGAAGATCGAGGCATATTCAAACAGGGTCAGAGGAGGCTGACTAAAGTTTGGTCAAGGAGTCTCTGTCATGTGTAATATTTATCAAAATTAAATATGTACATACTCTTTAATATAATTTTAATACTTAGAATTTATCCCATAAACAGGGGCACCTGGGTGGCTCAGTTGGTTAAGCATCTGACTTCAGCTCAGATCATGATCTCAGGTCCTTGGTTTCAGCTCAGGACTTGATCTCAGGGTCATGAAATTGAGACCCCAGGTTGGGCTCTGCCCTCAGCACAAATCTGTTTTAAGACTTTCTCTGCCTTGGGACTCCTGGGTGGCTCAGTCGGTTAAGCATCTGCCCTCAGCTCAGATCATGATCTCAGGTCCTGGGATGGAGCCCCAATCCGTGCTCAGCAGGAAGTCCACTTCTCCCTCTCCCTCTGCTCCTCCCCCAGCTCATGCTTGCTTTCTCTTTCTCTCTCAAATAAAATCTAAAAATAAAATAAAATAAAATAAAATTTATCCCATTAACATACTTACAAATGTACCCCAAGATGATATGTGTAAGGATTATCTCTAAACCATTGTTAAAAATAGCATCTAAAAGACCACCAATAAGAGGATTAGTTAAATAAATTAAGGTACTTAGTCTTTTCCCAATTTTTTTTTATGTAGAACACACAGAACATTCATCTTATATAGCTGAAATTCTATTCCCATTAAACAATAACTGCCCATTTTCCCCTTCCCCCCTCAGGCCCTTGTAACCATCATTCTATTTTGTCTGAGTCTAACTACTCTTCACACCTCATATAAGTAGAATCATACAGTATGTCTTTTTTTGACTGGCTTATTTCACTTAACATAATGTCCTCAAGATTCATCCAAGTTGTAGCATATGTCAGAAATTCTTTCCTTTTTAAGGATGAACAATATTACATTGTATGTGTATAACACATTTTGCTCATCTATTCATTCATCAGTGGACACTTGGGTTACTTCCACATTTTAGGTAATATGAATAATGCTGCTATGAACACAGGTTTACAAATATCTCTTCAAGACCCTGCTTTCAATTCTTTTGGTGATTAACACATAAGTGGAATTGGTGGGTCATAGGGTAATTCTATTTTCAATTTTTTGAGGAATCACCATATGGTTTTTTGAGGCAACTGTACCATTTTACATTCCCACCAACAGCAAAAGCACCTTCTTAAAATGAAATAGTATGTAGCCAAAAAAAAAGAATGAGGTTTATCCACATGTGGTGATATAGAGAGAGATATGGAAAACACTAAGCAAAAATGGAAGGTGCAAGACCATATTACAGTATTACCCCACTAGCAAATATTAAAAATGGGCAGATAGATATTGCAACATGTATAAAAAATTTTTTGAGAAGACACACAAGAAACAATAGTCGTCAACTTTAGGGAGAAGTACTAGGAAGCAGTAGAAGGGGAGTTGTATTTTTCATTTTATACCTTTCTAAAGAGTTTGTTAGAAGCTATTCCACCATTACTGGAGGCAGAACCTCTTTCTATATTATTTCAATTTCTTACTTTGGGGATATATTACATATGTATATATGCTAAATATGTGTAAATATAACTAAACTGTAGGACAAAAAGAAAGACATTTTTGAACAGGCTTATGATACTATACTATTTACTTATTTTTCATGCTAATCAAACACCGCCAAAGATATTCCAAAGGTTAGCTGTATTTCAGTAGTTTGAGGCATACCTTTGAGTGTTCTGAAAGGAAGTCTGGAAGGAGATAAACTTGTGCCAATAGCTCTGTATAGTCACGACAACGAAAATAGTAAATATGGGAAAGAATATTTTCAAGAGTGAAATCCTCCAAAGCTTTTGGGTGCTCTAGAATAAAACAAAAGCATCTTAAAATAAAATAATTAGTTTTACTTGTTTTGATATATTGGCGATTGTAGGAAAACAATACCTTTGAATAACAAAATTCTTCACTTTAATTGAAAGACAGCAAAATTGTAACAAAATTACTATAAACTATCATTGCATAATTCCTGACCTCTTATTTTCACCTTTTGCACTATTTCCTTACATGCTAGGCTATCTAGAAATTGTTTATACATGTATAGAACTAGAGTTTTAATGCCTGCCTTTTCATATTTCTAGTTATTGGCTTCTATTGAACAGAAGTAACATAATGGAATTTCTCTTGTTTTTCTCTTTTATAGGACTGCAAATTAAGAGTTAAAAGGAAAAGTGTTCAAAAGAAGCATCTTTTTCCCTTATGGTAACTTTTTTCCTTTATTACTGTAGCATAATTTGATATTTAAGTAGAAACAACGTAAGATTCTCCTTAGATTTATATATTTTTAAAAACCACTTTTGGGGGGATGCCTGGGTGGCTCAATTGGTTAAGCATCTGACTCTTGATTTTGGCTCAGGTCATGATCTCAGGGTCTTGAAATTGAGTCCTGCATCCAGCTCTGCACGCAGCAGGAAGTCTGCTTGAGATTCTCTCCCTCTGCCCCTCCCCCTTGCTTGTCCTCTCTGAAGTAAATAAATAAACCTTAAAAAGAAAAAATGGTTTGGTTTTATACATATTTCAGAGAAACCAATTAAAAATTACTGCACTTTAAAACGTACTTAAGTTTTGTTTTTTTTTTTTTAAGATTTTATTTACTTGACAGAGAGACACAGCAAGAGAGGGAACACAAGCAGGGGGAGTGGGAGAGGGAGAAGCAGGCTTCCCGCCGAGCAGGGAACCCGATGCGGGGCTCGATCCCAGGACCCTGGGATCATGACCTGAGCCAAAGGCAGACACCCAACGACTGAGCCACCCAGGTGCCCCACGTACTTAAGTTTTAACAATGAAAAAAAACTACAAGAAATTAAATTTCAGACAGCACTATTACAAATATAAAAGTTCATTTTTAACCAAAAAATAACAGCTTAATCACACAGCAATCATTAAAAACTTCATATCCCAGTGCTACACCTACAATATTCACAGGTTGTTTTTTTTTTTTAAAGATTTTATTTATTTGACAGAGAGAGACACAGTGAGAGAGGGAACACAAGCGGGGGAGTGGGAGAGGGAGAAGCAGGCTTCCCGCGTAGCAGGGAGCCCAATGTGGGGCTCGATCCCAGGACCCTGGGATCGTGACCCAAGCTGAAGGCAGACGCTTAACAACTGAGCCACCCAGGCGCCACCACAGTAAGGTTTTAAGACACTATTACAAATATACATTGTGACATGGGTAGCTTTAAGGCCTTTCAGTAGATACATTGGTCATTAGTTAAAAAGGACACCTAAGGGTGCCTTGGTGGCTCAGTTGGTTAAGAGTCTGCCTTCCGCTCAGGTCGTGATCCCAGGATCTTGGGCTGGAGTCCTGCATCAGGCTCCCTGCTCAGAGGGTAGTCTGCTTCTTCCTCTCCCTCCACTGGTGCTCTCTCTCTCTCACTCTCTCAAAAAAAAAAAAAAAACTAGTACTCATATGAAAATTAAAATATCCAGCTATTACACTCATTTAAAGGGAATACAAGCATCTTATGAAAAGTATTGTTTTTTTAAATTATTAAAGAATAAGAGTGGCTCAGTCATTAAGCATCTGCCTTCACCTCAGGTCATGATCCCAGGGTCCTGGGATCGAGACCCTAACCCTGCTCAGCGGGAAGCCTGCTTCTCCCTCTCCCACTCCCCTGCTTGTATTCCCTCTCTCGCTATGTATCTCTCTGTCAAATAAATAAAATCTTAAAAAAAAAAAAATGAGGACTGCACATCCAAAAAATAAAGTAGAACAGTCAAACCAGAAACCATTTGATTTAAAAGTAATTAAAAGGGCAAACTTGAATACCTTTAAGTATTTAAATTAAATTGAAATTACCTTTATGTGTTTTCTTAAAAAAATCAAACAATATTTTTACATGACAAAAATAAAACTTAACACAGTCTTGAACTCAATTACATTCTACTCAGAGCCCCCTAAGGTCAATGGGCTTAATGTTCTAAATATTTCCAACATGGTTTTTCAAAGCTACCTTCCTTTGGTGGAGCGCCTGGATGACTCAGTCAGCTGGGCGTCTGCGTTCAGCTCAGGTCAAGATCCCAGGGTCCAGGGATCTAGGCCCTACCTCTGGCTCCCTGCTCAGCTGTGAGTCTGCTTCTCCCTCACCTTCTGCCCCTTCCCCCACTCATGCTTGTTCTCGCTCTCTCTCTTTCAAATAGATAAAATCTTAAAAAAAGAAGTGAGGGTCATAAAAGGAGAAGAAAAGGCCAGTCTAGGTTGTGGCATTTCTAAGTCTAAAAGAAAGATCTGAGAGTTTAACACTAGGATGCTGTCAAGTCATTAAGCTTTCATGTTCCAAATGGTTTCTTGCTGAGGCTTGAGAGGTACAAATGCTAATTACTTTTATTACAGAGAAAAAGAGGATCACTTGCTAACTTACCCTCTCCCATATGTGTTCCTGCTATAAGGTGAAGGTGCTGAATGCACGCAGCAGCAAGGTCTACCACTCTATCAACCATAAAACTTCCTTCAGTATCAATAAAAACTGCTTCACCTTCCACTCCTCCAAAACATTCTGGTATTTGCACATCTACTGCCAACTGCATACTGTCAAGAGAAAGCTGAATGACCAAATCATCATAATCATCTAAGGCATTTTCAAACTCCACATTACCACCCATTAGGTACCACCATTAGGCAATAGAGATGGCTAACTTTCTGCTCCAAATATGTATGAATCCACTGATATTTGGATTAGGGGGAGGGTATACCCATAAAACCATGATTAAGGACTTTTTAGTGGTTTTTAGGCCTCTGGGAATGAAACCCTTTCTTATACTAAACCTACCTTCAAATATATTCCCAGAAATTAATTCTATAATAAAACAGAAGAGGGCGCCTGGGTGGCTCAGTCCTTAAGCGTCTGCCTTCGGCTCAGGTCATGATCCCAGGGTCCTGGGATCGAGTCCCGTGTCAGGCTCCCCTCCCTCTGTCTCTGCCTGCTGCTTTGCCTACTTGTGCTCTATCTCTCTGTCAATTAAATAAAATCTTTAAAAAATAAAATAAAACAGAAGATTACATGTTTACCCTAATGATCACATTACAATGTTGCAAAATAAACATTTCTGGATACCAAAATAATTATATCAATTTAAAGATGGGGTACTGAAGTAACACAAATAGTAAACTGATTTTTGTTTGATGTGCACGCATACACACAAAAAAAATTTAGAGCACATACATCCTTTTTTGGTCTCCTGAATGTAGACCCACAGCACCATATTCTATTACTTACATAAAATGTCATTAAGCCTACACTTAAGAAGGGAACATTTTACTTTACCATAATTGTGTTTTTCCAATACCCGGTACACCACAAATTTCTGTTGTTTTGGTTAAGGGTATTCCACCCCCAAGAATATTATCTAGTGCTGAACAGAAGGTAATTATGAAGCTCTGGGTATGCTCCTGCTCAAGAAGTTCCAGTGCTGTACACTTCTTGCCTAACTCAGCTGTAGCAGCATATCTTGGTTTACTTGTGAGACATTCTCTTCTTATAATTTGCAGAGTTTCCAAGGCTTCCTCTTTAGATATCCCAACTTCTGAAAGTAAAAAAAAGAAACAGGAAAAAAAAACAAAACCCAAACCCTGATTTTAGAAATTTAAGTCTTAACATGCTATTGGGTTGTCTTCATTAATTTTAATTTTTAGATAATAAGAGTGATGCCAAGAGCAAAGAAACATAAAAATAGGGACGCCTGGGGGGCTCGGTCATTTGAGTGTCTGCCTTCGCCTCAGATCATGATCCCCAGGGTCCTGGGATCGAGCCCTGCATTGGGCTCCCTGCTCTGTGGGAAGCCTGCTTCTCCCTCTGTCTCTGTGCTCTCTCTCTCAAATAAATAAATAAATAAAATCTTTAAAAAGAAAAAAAACAAAAATAAAACATTCCATTAACTACTGAATTTTTCAAGTTAATAAAGGCATTCATCTTTGTTTTCTTAGTCTTTACATACTTCAAAGATTTATTTATTACCTCAAATGCAGAATCCAGAAACGTAAACCTCTAAACCATTTGAGTACCTACAAGAGTATCTCAGAAGATATAAATTAAAATGTACAGGCAGTCAGTCCTTTTACTATCCTTTTGGTTTTAGGAAGTCATAGTTATCTTGATCTAATAAGGCATCTAAATTATTTTTCAGGGGCGCCTGGATGGCTCAGTCGTTAAGCGTCTACCTTCAGCTCAGGCCACGATCCCAGGGTCCTGGGATCCAGTCCCGCATCAGGCTCCCCTGCTCCACTGGAGGCCGGCTTCGCCCTCTCCCACTCCCCCTGCTTGTGTTCCTGCTCTCGCTCTCTCTCTGTCAAATAAATAAATAAAATCTTTAAAAAAAAAATATTTTTCAGAAGAGAATGAAAATGGCCTCTAACCACCTAAAACAAGATTTAACTTTAAAGAAGTGTTTGTGCATGTATTATTCATAATAAAAACTTCTCATAGAAACACTACCATGAAAAATTCACATATCACTCCAAAAATTTTAATGAGAACAATTATTTGATGCACAAATATTTTAAACAATACACTTATGCTTCCTCAACTATATAATTTCATTCTTATCAGACAATATGGCTTGAGAAGAGAAAATGGCAATTACAAAACAAGCTGCTAATGAAAGGAATAATGAAAGGTGAGGGTGACATCACTTATGAGTTTGATAGGTCAGTGCCTGATTTGGTTAGGATATGAATACAGATTTGGCACTAATAAGAGACAATAGGGTGATAAGGAAATGAAAATCCTATTTAGAAAAAAAGCCTAAATTCTGGAGTCAGATTTCTTGGGTTTGTAAACCCTGACTGAACCACTTATTATGAAGTTACTTTGTATGGACGAGTTACTTTTTTTTTTGCCTCAGATCTTTTCTTCTGTAAAACGGAAATGATACATGTTGAATAACTGGGTAGAATACCGAGGCAGTCCAAAACGCTCAATAATTGTTAGCTACCATTATCATGCAGAATCTCTCATTTCTTTTCTGCAAAACCAACTTGTTGAAAGAAAAAAAACCATCAAACTTTGGGAGACAGGGGTGCCTGGGTGGCTCAGTGGATGAAGCGGCTGCCTTCTGCTCAGGTCGTGATCCCAGAGTCCTGGGATCAAGCCCCATATCTGACTCCCTGCTTCTCCCTCTCCCTCTGCAGCTCCTCCTGCTTGTCCTCTCTCAAACAAATAAATAAAATCCTTAAACCAACAAAAACGTTGGGAAACCGTACGCAGTGTAAGATTTAAAACAGTTAACATTGGGTCTACAACATTTATTCTTGAGGGGTGAGTTGCAACCACCTTATTTTCCATTGTTAAGGGCAAGGACTTAAAATTTTGTTCTATCTTACGAGCAGTTCTGAGCATACCCTCGTGTAATATGCACAGTGAGACAGCAGACAGCTTCATTTTTGTATACCCCATAATGATACAATGGTTCCCACCAATGTATAATCTAGTGTTCTGGAATGAGAGGTTTGGGGTTTCTTGTTTTGTTTTTCCAGCGAATTACAGAAGAGAAGCAGTATCTTCTTTCTATTGCTTTCTCCACGTGCTGGAGATTCTGCTCCCTTTCTCACCTAGTGTCTCTAGTCCTATCACGAATCCTCCATTTCTCAAATGCAATCCTTGCCCCTTGGATTTCGGAACAGCTAAAACTAGACCAGCTGTCTGGGTACCAATCCTGGCTCCGCAATTTCCTAACCCAGTCATCATGAAAAGTTACTTAACCTCCCCAAGCATCTGTTCCTTCGTCATATTGGACATAATAATCCACGTTAACAGGGTTCTTTTGAGTAATATATTAGATAATCCTCAGGAGGGGGGCGCCTGCCTTCGGCTGGGGTCATGATCCCGGGGTCCTGGGATCGAGCCCCGCATCGGCCTCCCTGCTCCGCGGGAGGCCTGCTTCTCCCTCTCCCACTCCCCCTGCTTGTGTTCCCTCTCTCGCTGTGTCTCTGTCAGATAAATAAATAAAAAATCTTAAAAAAAAAAAAAAAGATAATCCTCAGGAGGATTCAGCCGGCACGGGTAGAGAAAGCAATTAGTAAATGTTTTCAGGACCACAGCTCTAACCATTCACACCCTGTTTAATTGGAATCAAGGAGCGGTTTCACGTTGCAAACGCAGCCTTGGGCGGAGGAAACTGGCGGACACAGGGTGGAAACCTGAAGGCGGAAGAACCGAGATGGAGGCGGCACCGACGGCGGTCCGTGTGCCTCAACTTGCCGTCAGGACTCGTTACCTTTGCTGAGCTCGGACGGTTTTATCTCTAGGAGTTCCTCAGCCGTCTGGAAACCTGCAGACACCAGCTTCACCCGCACCGCTGGGGACAGCGGGAAACTCACTAAGTCCCGCTGCATTTCAAAGCCGGACACCTACGCAGAGAAGCTAAATCCCAGTCTCAACTCCGCACGCCCGCGCGCGCGCCGTGAGACGTCAGACGTAAGGCGGAAGGGGCGGGGTTTCTGGCCTCACTGCACGCGGCTTCGGGCTTGGCCCTTCTGAGGAGGAATGTTGTATTTTCTCCGTAACTGCACCATTTCTGTTGTGATTCTTACAAATCCCTTTTAGGGTTTCCCCATCAAACATACATCCTGACAGTAAAAAGATGGGTGGAAACCGCAAGATGGAGAGCCAGGCCTTACACACCACATCTCCACACCTCAGCCCTGGCCTGTTGGGTGGAACCTCAAGGTTATTAATAGGAATGATCTACCCCCAGGTGTGGGTAACGCACACACTAGCCACTTACCGGCTTGGGATATGAGGCAGTCATATAAGGATTAATCGGTGTCTCCATTATAGGGTTCCACTTTCCTACCTTTTCTCGTCGGGTATCCCCCTTGCCTTCCCCCTTTGCCTTTCCCGCCCTCACCCTGGGCCTCGCCCGCGCGAGGAATTGTGGGCCAGCCCCCCACCGCCACCGGGAGCGCTAGGCGCCCAATCCCCGCACCCACCCACGCCTTCCCCGCGAGTCCAGTCTGAAGCATGGTGGTTTCTGAGACCGTTGGTTCACGGCCTGCCTAACTTAAGAAGTAGCTGGAAAAGTAAGCAAGTAATGTCCCCGTGGTGGGCTGGGCATGGGCTCCCGTCCTGAGGGAGTAATTGGGCTACGCAAGAGCTCCTGCTCTGGTAGAGTTGAGAAGGGACCCCTTCTAAAATAGAGAACTTTGAGGGAATTGAGGCGGTTTGGAAGGTGGGTTACGAAGTCTTTCTTTGCTTAAGTGAGTGTGATTTCTTTAGGGCAGTAACTTGTTCACTACATTTGTTAAGATTCTTAGCCTTGAATTTTTTTCCCCTAGCTTAAAGGAACTCCCTAAATATTGCAAATCAGAGCCCTTTAAGTACGTAAGATCTAAGGAAGGAAACATATGTTGAGCGCTTTAGCAAATCCCACACATTTCAAATGCTCACAACCGTACCAGGAGGAAAACGAGGACACAGAAGCTTAGAGTAGTTTTCTTCAAAACAATTAAAACCTAGTACCCTTTCTTCTGCCCCGAGCTACCTCCAAATTGGGAGCCCCTTTTGGATGGGGTTTCGGGGGTAGAATTCGAGAAATGTTTGTCCCCCATTTGGTAGGATGGGGAAAGTCTGGAAGGACTAGTCAAAATGGATTGTTTGCCACTCAATACCTTGTTTAACTACTGGTATGAGTCACATCTGGGCACACAGTGAGTATTACATAAATGTCCGCGCGGAGAATTCATGTTTACAAAACAACCAGGGTCTTGGGTGAAGAAGAGGTGGTGTTAACATATTCAAAAACAGTGCTTTACTTGGTTTGCTCAAACTCAGTGGAATCAGTCGTGTTTAGAACTTTGTTTCACTGGCTGTGGAGAGTTAGTTAAAGTAGTTGACTCTATCTGTAGTCATACAATTATGTGTTATTAATATCTTATTCTGAGCCTTGAGTTGTCTATAATTATTGTTTTCACATCATTCTTCAGATTTCTTTAATACAGTTTGCTCTATAGTCAGGCTTTCAAACTAGGATCCAGGTTTATGAGGCCAGGCACCAAGAACTGAACAAAACTATGGGATTTTTATGGAAGGTACACCTTCCTAGGATGTCAGATTCGCTCAATTTTTTTTTTTTAGAGAGGGAAGAATTGAATGATTTAACTGGTAAGCTATTTAAATTATTTTATATTAAGTAAATATTAACATATTGTAAAGTAAAATGCAAACATAAAAATAAATTTTCGAATAAACATAATTATGAGTTTGAAGAAAGATCCAGTTTAAACTGGATACTTCAGTAGTCTCCCAAAGCCTCCTAGGAATATGTTGGGGTTTTTTTTCGTTGCAGTTTGGGGTTACTTGATGAAAAAGTTTGAGAGGCACTGCTATGGACAAATGAGCATGAGCCTTGAAGTCATACAAATTTGGGTTTGTGTCACATCTCTGGAAATTACCAACTATAAGCCTTGCAGCAAGCTACTCAGTTTCCTCACCTGCAAGTAAAAGATGATAATTCATGGGATTATTGGAAAGATCAGATTAACAAATATAAAGTTTTTTTTTTAGATTTTATTTATTTATTTGGCAGAGAGAGACACAGCGAGAGAGGGAACACAAGCAGGGGGAAGGGGAGAGGGAGAAGCAGGCTTCCTGCAGAGCAGGGAGCCCGATGTGGGGCTCGATGTGGGGCTCGATGTGGGGCTCGATCCCAGGACCCTGGGATCATGACCTGAGCCGAAGGCAGACGCTTAACGACTCAGCCACCCAGGCGCCGCAACAAATATAAAGGTTTTAGTACAGAAAAGGTACATAATTTTAGTTTATCCATTTAAAAATACTCCAGATGTGTCTTCATTTGAATAAAGCTTTATTAAACACCTAGCTCAGTAGAGTGCTAATGCTGTGAGACGTTTTTTAAGTGCCTACAATTGTAAAGTGCCAAAGGAAAGTGCTTTTACATATTTCATTTAACTTGATGCTTGCAATAATCTGTGAATAGTTTACTTGGGTTCCCGTTTAAGATTATTAAGATTAGATCATTTAAGCAAGATTAATATTTATTAAGTGCTAGTTATCATGGTTACAGGGCAAGTGACAGAATTTCTGCCGTTGTGGAGCCTATCATCAATCAGGATCATTATTGAGCATTTCTGGCTTTCATTGCTATCTAGATATGATACTAAGGGTAGGAATGAGTTATTTCTGCTAATATCTATAGTTAATCTAAGTATTCAAGTAAACTGATCTATTTTCTAGAGATATGGGAGAGGAGTAATCTGAATATTTCTGTTATAGCTGAGGAGAAATTTATTTTCTTTTAACCTGAAAATATAGAACTTCTAAAAATGGTGAGCTTGAATGTTCAAGTGGATTTGGGAATGGAGAGAAATGAGTGCTGTTTCGACTAAGAAAAAACTTTGAATCAAGGCTTAGCTTTAAAGGTGGTTATGATAAAACTTAAAGCCTCAAACACAAATATTTGGAGTATCAATATCAGTTGTACAAAGCCTTATACATAGTAGGAGCTCAGTATTTATTTGTTGTCCACAAACTCTTTAAATCTCATTTCTGTGATGCCACACTCCTGATTTCCTTCATATCCATCTGGCTTTTCTGTCTCCCTTGGAAGCTCATCTTCCAGAACCTGGCCCTGAAATGTTACAGTTCTTTTAAGACCCCATAGCTGACCTTTTGCTGACTATTCTGTTCTCTCTTCTCTTGTTCTCTCATTCTCTCTCTTTCTCTGCTATCTCATTCACAGTTCAGTGACTATATGCCAGTGATTCTTTTTTTTTCTCAAATTTTAAAAAAGATTTAAGAGAGAGACAAAGCACGAGCGGGGAGAGGGGCAGAAGGAGAGGGAGAGGGACAAGCAGGCTCCCCATTAAAAGCAGAGCCCAACGAAGGGCGTGATCCCAGGACCTGAGATCATGAGAGTTTACAACCTCCACAGAAGTCAGACATTTAACAGACTGAGCCACCCGGGGAACCCCAATTCTTAAATTTATATTTCTAGCCCTGCCCTGTTCTCTCACCTCCAGATGCAAATATCTGATTGCCTACTGGACAGTGCAAAGGTCTCCAACTCAGCCTATCTTTTTTTTTTTTAAGATTTTATTTATTTGAAAGAGAGCACATGAGTGTGGGGGAGGGGCAGAGGGAGAAGGAGAAACAGACTCCCAGATGAGCAGGGAGGTGGGGCTTGATTCCAGGACCCTGGGATCATGACCTGAGCTGAAAGCAAATGTTTAACCGACTGAGCCACTCAGGTGCCCCTCCAACTCAGCCTATCTCAAACCTAACTTAAGGTCATCTGGGTGGCTCAGTCGGTTAAACATGTGCCTTCGGCCCAGGTCATGATTCCAAGGTCCTGGGATCGAGGCCGCATCAGTCTCCCTGCTCAGTGGGAAGTCTGCTTCTCCCTCTGCACCCCCTCAAATAAATAAATAAAATATTTAAAAAATATATTTCGAATCGAACTCATTATTTTCTTCAGCCCACTCCCAAAACCTTGTCTTCTTCCTGTATTCCCTGCCTCCATGAACTGAATAGCCATCCTTCCATGTGCACAGACTAGAAACCTAGGAATCATTCTCAACACCTTCCCTTTTCACTCCCCATGTTCAATGCATACACAAATCCTATCAATTTTCTCTTTAACATATCTTGATTCTCTTCATGCCTCCTCCTCTAGGCCAAGCTCCTACCATTTTGCTTGTAGGTACTCTATCCTTTTGGCTGGTCTCTCTGCATCTTGTCTTCTCCCCTCTAGTCTGTTCTCCCATGCTACAGCCAAAATGTTCTTTAAACAGTACAGTTTTATATTTCAGCTCATGTCACTTCCTATTTTGCTCTTAGGATACAGACCAAATTTCTTAGTAAGACTCAAATCTCCCTTTTAAGGCTCTCACAGCACCAAATGCCTCTGTGTGATCATTTACGTAACGTATGTCTCCCTGACTAGATTGAAAACTTCAGTAGAGCAGGACCATGTGCATTTTACTCCCTGTTTTTTTTTTTTAGAGCCCCTAGCCCAGTGTAAGGGTTTAGTAGGTGCTCAGTAAATATTTGTTAAAAGAATAGATGATTAGATGGTTGACCAGCACTTCTCTCCCTATATTTTTCTATTTTGTACTTTAAATATGGTGAAAAATATAAACTTGTAGGAAGTATATACTTGTAGAAAACAAAATACAGAAAATATAAAGAAATAAAACTGGTTCATAAATTTTCTATTTAATTCACAGATAATAATGTTAACATTTTGGTTTATTTTAATCTTTCTATAAGTTCATATAATATATTTATCTTACCTACTGTCAAATTGTGAAGAAATTTGTATATCTTTTGTTTTTCACTTAATATTTTGTCAGAAGCTTTCTTCCGTGTAATTACAAATTATTTGAAAATTAAACTTAGTGGTTGCATACGTTCTGTCCTGAAGCCCATCTTTCTAATCTGGCT